TTCTGATATTTTTTAAGTCTGGAATTAATTTTTGAGTCGAAGCAAGATATTTTATTTGGTACACTTCCAAATTGTTATTATAATTAATCTCATATTGAATTTTTGCTATAATTTTAACTCTTGAATAGATTTCTGAGTGCTGAAGCAAAATATCTTATTTATTTTACTTCCAATATAACTTCTGTTGTATATATTTTATGTCTAAACTGAATCTCTGGTACAAATTCTGGTAAGAAACTGATGTCTTCTGATATTTTTTAAGTCTGGAATGATTTTTTGTGTGTCGAAGCAAGATATTTTGTTTGTTATCCTTCCAAATTGTTATTATAATTTATGTTATATTGAATTTCTGCTACATTTTTTACTTTTGCAACATTTTTAAATTTTTGAATGGATTTCTGAGTGCTGAAGCAAAATATCTTATTTGTTTTACTACAAATATAACTTACTGTTGTATATATTTTATGTTTAAACTGAAATCCTGATAAGAGACTGTCTTCTAATATTTTGAAGTCTGGAATGAATTTTTGTGTATCGAAGCTAGATATTTTAATTGTTGCACTTCCAAATTATTATTATAATTGATGTCATATTGAATTGCTGCTTCAATTTTTTGCTTCTGGTACATTTTTTAATTCTTGAATAGATTTCTGAGTGCTGAAGCAAAATATCCTGAAGCTGAATAGCTAAAGTTTACTGCCAATATAACTACTGTTGTATATTTTTTGTCTAAACTGAATTACTGGTACAAATCCTGGTGAAAGATTGATGTTTTTTGTTATTTTTTAAGCCTGGAATAATTTTTTGTATTCATCAAGCAAATTTTGCAAAGCTAGTGATTGTATTCAGTCAGTTTCACTTCCAATTATGTTATTACTGAATTAAATTTCTGCTCCAAGTGACCTTGTACAAAAAAATAAAGATCTTTCGACTTGTTTTGTATAACCCATAACTAAATTCTGGTAAGAGAGATTGATGTCTTTTGTTACTTTTTAAGCCTGAAATAAATTTTTGTATTCATTAAGCAAATTTTGCAAAGATAGTAGTTTTATTTAGTCAGATTCACTTCCAATTATGTAATTACTGAATTAAATTTCTGCTCAAAGTGTCATTGTACAATAAATTAAAGATCTTTTGTTTTATTTTGTACATCCTGTAACTACTGGTTTATTTAAATTTAAAAGTATGCAAAAAAGAATTCAGGAGACATGTTATTTGTTTATATCAATGATAGTTGTATATAAATGCAATACAAATAACAATGTGCTTACAAATTGATAATATGAATTGAAATTGATAATGCTCATGTAATTGCCATAAATTAGTGGCCTCTGAGAATATAACAGAAAATAATATTTGTACAAAGACTGTGTCTTTAACTAAATAGAAATATAAAACAATTACTCCAAATTTTTAAATTTCAGCTGTAAGTTAAGGATCTTGTTACCTTGCTTTTGTATACAAATATATTCCGTAACTATTGCTTTATTTAACTCAGTCAGTCATTTACAATATACATGAAAAAGCATTCATAGAGACATGTTATTCGCTTGCACATTATTCTTGATGTAAATGATAATGGTACAAATAATCACTTTACAAATTGATGACATGGAATTTACTATCTATTATTGTTGTTGACCTAAAACAGCCTTTGCACAAACTCTGTTGAAGTAACAGAAAAAAAATAGATAGATTTCTTTAAATACTATTGTTTAAATACTATTAAGTATGTGAAAAATTTGCCTTACCTATTTAGTAATTCCCCGTGTAACCAAATCCTCAATGGCCATTTATAAATCAATAATAAGTTAAATAAACATATTTCCATCATATTTTATCCAACTTATTATCAAATGTCTCCAACAATTCACGTTTGATTGATTTTTGTGACCAAACATATCTGATGATTTTTAAGTCGGATTATTTCCATGAATTTTTGCGAAGCGTACATAATTAATGTCTTGTTTGATAACTATAATATAAATAATGATTTTAGTATGTTTTTTTAATAATGTACAAGTGTTATTTATTAAGTTATTTACCTAAAAAACGAATGACGCTGTTTGTCTGATGAATAGGAGAGCACAACAAACGTTATTGATTTTTGACAATTGCGTCGCAGTTTTATTTGAGCAGCGTCTATACAGAAAAAATTATGCGATTGGAAAAATATGCTTTTTTAATTTTTTGAAAAATGAAAAAGAAAAGAAAAATTGTTAAATAGGTATTCTAAATAAATAATTTAGTTTTATTTAGCATAAAAAATATGTCGATAAAATTCTATTTGTAAATATTAAATTTATATATAATCTAATGGTTGATTTTTTGCAAATGGTGGAACCAGAATTTATATAATCATAGATTAAACTAGTGGGGTGTATGGCATCGTGCCTCAAGGCAAATTGCTGGAACTTCCCGTACCGTATCCAAAATCAATTATTTTGTTTAAAACAAGCTGAAAGTTTTTGAATCATTAAATTGGACACTTAGTTCTCTCAAAAAACTGCCATTTTTCGCACATTTAGCTCTGTATCTTCGAAATGGTTGGGCCTGCCATTGCCAAAAACTAATAAGCACTTCTCCCAATCATTACTAATTGAATGTTTTTTAGATCATTCAAATCGGATGCTCCGTTCACTCAAAAACTCGATTTCTATTTTCTGCACTCTTTGCTCCGTATCTCCGTAACGGCTGGACCTGCCTTTGCCAAAAATAATCAGCACATCTCCCTTATCAATAGAAATCGAATGTTTTTTGAACCATTCCAATCGGTTGATCCGTGCGCCCGAAAACGTGGACGAAAAATTGTATCCATGCATACATACATACACACACATCCATTTTTTCTGAGGTATGCCAAAATGTTCAGAAACCTTCAAAACGTCGAGAAATGTAAAAATTTTCATTTTCGATTTTCGGCCCATTACAATAACTACCCTACGGGAAGTTAAAAAGAGAGTATATAATGAATGATGTATTAAATTAGTAATAAAACATTAACTAGTCGTGCATGGGGTGCATGGCATCGTGCCTTATTGCTGGAACTTCCCGTACAAAAATTATTTTTTTGAGAAAGAAAGATTATTTTTTTTTAAAACTATGAAAAAACTAGATTTTTGAGAATTTGACAATTTTTGAAAATGATTTTTTTTATAATGTGAAATATTTGGAAAATTTCGAACTTTTTTCAAAGCAATCGCACTGTGTCAGCTGTGTAGAGGCGAAATATCGAAGCGCGTAAGCGCTGCGTCGCATAAACCTCTATTCTTTCTTAGTTTTAAATTTTATCTATTAGTTCTTATTATTAAAGTCTCTATAAAATATCTGATAAATTGATAATTAAATAAGCATTTTTGACAGCCAAATGGCATTTTTTTTACTTTTACTATGAATCTCCGAAATCGTTGAACCTACCTTCCAACAATTCCGTCAGTTCTTCATTTCGTCAATACAAATTAAATGTTTTGAATCATTCAAATCGGACGCTCCGTTATCTGAAACTGAAATAATGTTCTTGAAACTCCAAAATCCAAGTCCAAAAATCTAAATTGAAAATTGTTACATTTCTTCACGTTTTGAAGGTTCTGAACATTTTGGCGTACCCCTAGATAAAAGAAGAGTGGGCGTACCTTTAAAAAAAATGAATGCGTGTGTGAGTATGTATTGTATATATGGATACAATTTTGATTCACGTTTTCGGGCGCAAAGATCAACCCATAGATAAAGAAGAGTATAGAGGATCAACCGATTTTAATGGTTCAAAAAACATTCGATTCCTATTGATAGCGAGATGTGCAGATTAGTTTGGGCAAATGTCGGTCCTGCCATTTTGAATTGCGAGAACTCGAACTCTTTGAGAGAACTCAGAATCCGATTTGAATGATCAAAAAAACATTGAATTTGTAATGATGGGGGAAAGTGTGATTGATAGTTTTTGGCAAAGGCAGATTCAGCGTTTCGGAGATACGGAGCTAAATGTGCAAAAAATGGCAGTTTTTTGAAAAAAAAAATAAGCATTCGATTTAAATAACTTTCTGCTTGTGTTGACGAAACGATTCGTTTTTAAGAAAAAAAATTATTTTCAAATTCAGATTTTCAAAATTTTAATTCGGTACGGGAAGTTCCAGCAATTTGCCTCAAGACACGATACCCTACGCCACTAGCTGAATTATTCAAATCGGTTGATTTAATAAAATGAATAAAAAAATTATTCAAACATAGATATATCTATGTTATAACACACACACGTGCATATAAATTATTTTTTCAGAAATTTTTTAACCATTCATTGGTTCAGAAGATACGGTTTGGTCGTTAATCAGACAAAGGTGATCAACGCTAAACTTCATCAAATTACATCAATTTAAAATTTAGTAGGTGGCCATGCTTATTTATCTATGGCGTTTTTAAGAAAACATTGATAAAGGTAAAAAATCGGCTTATATACTGATATGTATTCTAATATTTTACCAATTGTGCTCTCAAATGATTCAGAATGACTAAAAACGTCAAGAAAACAAACTTTCTGGTGAAAAAATAAATTTTCCTTCGAAATGTTAAAAAGTTTTATGCAAAATTTGAAAATCGCGCCAACACTTTACTTCACACTTCACGTGTCTGAACTGTCATTGTCCTCCGCCATGTTTGATAATTTGACAACTCAATTTTAATCAATTCTTAATTTAAAAAAAGTTATTAATGATTAAACATGTATAATTAATAGGCAATTATTAATTTACACTCCGTAATTAATATGTTTTGCCGGTTCAAAAAATATATATAAATTTCTCTAGTCTAAAATTTTTGACACATCAAAAATGTCTCAAGAAACAAATTTATTTACTAAATCGGTAGAAGTTGCCAACGATGGTATAAATAACTCTGTTACCATTAAATCAGAACCGTTAGAATATACACTAGAAGAAATTGACGATGACAACGTTTCCATAAAAGAGGAATTAGAAGATTCAGACAGTACCTCAGACCATGAAGCTTCTTTCGAACGTTCATGGAACCTGAGGTAACGATAGATGAAGAAACCAAGCAAGAATTACCCAAAGAAGCACCGAGCCCTTGCAAGATTTGTGGCCTCACTTTCCCAACACACCGTAGGATCAAAAAGCACATGAAAACCCACAATGTTGAAATGATGTTCGAATGTAAATACTGTGATAAAGAGTTCAAGCACGCGAGCATCTTGACAACTCATATGAGGACTCACACCGGTGAAAAGCCTTGTGTATGCAACGTATGTAATAAAGCCTTCATCACCCCGCACACGCTCAAACAACACATGTACATACACGAAGGTAAACGGGATTATAAATGTAACTTATGTGGAAAATCTTTTACCTACTCGAGTAATTTATCAAGACACATGCGTTTTCATACTGGAGAACGCCCCCACAAGTGCAATACATGTGAAAAGTCATTCACCACGTCCGGTGATCTAACAAAACATCTACGAGTGCATATTGATGAAAAGCCTTTCGTATGTTCTTTATGCGAGAAGGCTTTTGGGAGTTCATACTCTTTAGCTTGTCACACTAGGACACATACTGGAGATCGTCCTTATAAGTGCGATGTGTGTGATAAATCCTTTGCGATTTCAAGTGGCTTATCGAGGCATGCAAGGACTCATAGTGGTTTCAAGCCGTTCATATGTACGTTTTGTGGTAAACTGTTTGTGGATTCGACTGCGCTTGCACAGCATCTTAGGACTCATACAGGGGAAAGGCGGTATAAATGTGATAAGTGTGATAAAGCATTTGTTCAATCGGGGCATTTGAAGACACATAAAAGGACAATACACCAAGAAACTATATAATTAATAGAATAAATTAAGTGAATTATTGAAAACTATATATAAACAATTACAAAATGCATTATGGCTTGATATTAGAAAGCAATTGTTTTTGTTAAAATATGTTTAGCACAAGAAGAAATAATTATTTAATCAGTCAATTTAGTTAGTTTTTTGTTCATTTATTAATTATTAATTAATTAAGGGGGTTGTTCGGTTTTTATTTTTATTTTTTTCAATTTTGAGATTTTTTGATATTATGAAAGCTAAAAATCTTAGAATTATTTAAAAAAAAAAATCTCAATATCTATTTATTTGATGAAGTTATAATTATATATAT